TGAAAAAAATTGAACTAAAATAATTAAGACTGTGCTATATGTTTTATGCAATTGAAATTAGGTTTGATATGTTTTAAACAGCTCATTCTGAACAGAAGTTAACTACAGTTCACAAATGTTCTTAGTTATTCCCTGCCACCCTTTCCCTACACATACACTTGGACTATTCTGCACTTTGAAACACAAAGCAACTTGTCAGTTTAGTTTATTCAGTTAGGGTCAGTTCTGTGAAAACAAAACCAAGGCAATTGTTTGATTTAATTGACTGGAGAAACTGGTTATACAGGTTAGTAGGACTTAGTTTTATTTTTGTACAGCTGCATATTTGAATGTTCATAGAGTAACTTAGTACAATAATAAGATTCCAGTGACACTGTAATAGATTTTTAAAGAATGATTATCAAAGCAAAGAAAAAAATACACTAAAACCCAAACTATAGAAACTATTCATGGATTTTTTTTGGGGGGGAGGTATTTTTTTCTTTGTGGCTGCACTTTCACTGTAATGAAATATGTTCCTTCCAAAAAGTAGTCTTCTTTTCTTTCATTATTCATTTTCTTTTTTTTTTTTTTTTGAGGAATTTTTTTTTTTTTTTTTTTTTTTTTTTTTTTTTTTTTGTTGAATTTTTTTGCCTGTACTATAGTTAATATAGCTATCAGAATTTTCCTGTACAATTTAGATGAATAAATGCTTTTACAGAATAGTTCTCTTAAGTGCAAGCAGACATCCTCTAACAGTCGGTCAGCCCCCTCTTGGCTTCATTGTCCCCCTTTCCTAGCCAATCTCGTTGCTGATCGTTTTAACAATGTTCTTACTACTAATCTTGGTTCTTTCTGCTTCCCACCATGCTTTCCACTATATCCATCGCACTGTTCCCTGTTCCTTCAGCTCCTGGGCTTCGAATCACTCATTTTATTAAAATGAGTGGAAAACCAAAAAATTGAAATGCTAAAATATACTCTTAGGCCTTGATCCTTTAAAAGTATATAGATCTCAGGAACATAATTCATTTGAGGAAAAAAATACAAATCATTTCTTGTCCCAGGAAAATAGTAAATCTTTAACTTTAATGGAACTTTTTAGCAATTATGATAAAAAGAGGGGGAAAAATATTTAAACATGTATAAAAGGCTAGAAGTTTATCTTCAAAGAGTATCTAAAGGTCATAGAATAGTTAGGAATTCTGTCATTCTGTTTTGTGTAATAAAATATCCCCTTCCTGACTCCTTCACCCTAATAATAGATATCCATCAGTTTGGTTGTAATTATCCAACTATAGAATACCTTTTTCAAGAATTCATTATATACCAAAGTAAGAGCTTGCTAACACTGATAATGCTTCATTTCGTTTTGTAGTGACATACAATTTACATTTGCTTAAGAAAAAAAAAGAACAAAAACAAGTAACTTTTTAAAAACTATGGTTGAGTATATATAAGTTGATAAAAATCCTCTGGGAGAAAACTTTTGTCTTGTGTAGTAAGAATATTAAATAGTCATACCCCTTAGCCTAGTATGTCTTCTATACTGGAAAAAAATTAACAAAGAAAATACTAACAAGAAAAAAAACTACCGTACTGAAAAGATCTGTTGTAATATTGTTTATTCTAACGTAAATTGCGGTTATAATTGATAACATTCTAAATGTCTGTTACTATACATAGTGTAAATTGTAATACATTGGCTTTGCTAGGCAGTTTTGTAACCACTAATAATATAAATGTCATACCCTAACAACCTGGAAAAATGATTCTGGTATAAGGTTATGTAAAAAGGCACAGCCTAAAATTGTATATGGCAAACTAGCAATGAACAGTCTGACAAAGGAAATTAAGAGAACAGTTCCATTTACAATAGCATCAAAAAGAAAAAAATACAGCCAGGCACGGTGGTTCATGCCTGTAATCCCAGAACTTTGAAAGGCTGTGACAGAATTGCTTGAGCTCAGGAGTTTGAGACCATCCTGGGCAACGTAGGGAGACTCTGTCTCTATAAAAAATATAAAATAAAATTAGCCAGGCATGGTGGCTCATGCCTGTAGACCCAGCTGCTTGGGAGGCTCAGGTGGGAGGATCACATGAGCCCAAGATGTAGGCTGCAGTGAGCCATGGTTGCCACTGCACTCCACACGCACTTCAGACTAGGTGACAGAGTGAGACCCTGTCTCAAAAAGAAGAAAGTGCTTAGTAATAAATTTAACCAAACCAAATGGACACAAGACATTCCATATTCACGGATTGGAAGATTTCATATTGTTAGGATGATAATACTACCCAAAACATTCAACAAATTAAATGCAGTCCTTATCAAAATCCCAATGGCATTTTTTTTACAGAAATAGAAAAATGCATCCTAAAATTCATGCGGAATTTCAGGGCACCCCATATGGCCAAAACAATCCTTTAAAAGGAAAAACAAAGTTGAAGGGATTCATTCCCAGATTTCAGAACTTACTATAAAGCTACAGTCAGCAAAACAGTGTGCAACTAGAATAAGTACGGACATAAAGACCCATGGATTATTAATAGAATAGAGCCCAGAAATAAACACTTGTCTATATGGCCAGTCGTTTTCACCAAGAATGCCAGGACCATTTAATGGAGAAAGGCTGGTCTTTTCAACAAATCAGGCTGGTAAAACTGAGTATCTATATGCAAAATAATGAAGTTGGACCCTTACCTTATACCATATTCAAAAACTAACTCAAACTAGATCAGAGACCTAAATTTAAGCATTAAAGGTATAAAATTCATAGAAGAAAACATAGGAGAAAATTATGACCTTGGATTTGGCAATTTCTCCAAAAGGACAGGCACAAAAAAATAAAATGGATAAATTGAATTTCATAAGTATAAAAACTTGTGTTTTAAAGAAGATTATTGGCCAGGTGCAATGGCTCATGCCTGTAATCCCAGCACTTTTGGATGCCATGGTGGGTGGATCACTTGAGGTCAGGAGTTTGAGACCAGCCTGACCAACATGTTGAAACACTGTCTCTACTAAAAATATGAAAATTAGCCAGGTGTACGCCTGTAATTCCAGCTACTTGGGAGGCTGAGGCAGGAGGATTGCCTAAACCCGGGAGGCAGAGGTTGCAGTGAGTTGAGATCACGCCACTGCACTCCAGTCTGGGTTACAGAGCGAGACTCCATCTCTAAATAAATAAATAAGATTATCAAGAAAGTGAAAAGATAACCCAAAAAACGAAAGTAAATTTTTGCAAATTTTGTATCTAATAAGACTGTATTATCAAGAATATATAAAGAACTACAACTCAGCAACAACAACAAAAATCACAATTAAAATGTAGACTTGTGAAGACTTTTCTCCAAAGAAGATATCCAGATGACCAGTATGCACATAAAATAACCTGTGTTTGGCCAGGATGTGGAGACATTGGAATCAAGTTTTTTGCTGGTAGGAATGGAAAATGGTATCACTGCTGTGGAACCGTTACAGTTCCTCTAAAAGGTAACTATGTAACTACCATATGATCCAACAGTTCTACTCCACTTCTAGGTAGCTACCCAACAGAAGTGAAACAATAACTCTAACATATACAGTATTTGTGCACCAATGTTCATGGCAGCATTATTCACAATAGCCAAAAAGTGAAAACAACTCAAGTGTTCAAGAGATGAATGGATAAACAAAATGTACTGTAAACATACAATGAACTATTATTTGACCATTAAGAGGAGTGAAGTTCTGATACATGGTACAACATAGATGAACTCTGAAAACATCACACTAAGTGAAATAAGCAGACAGCAAAGGGCAAATATTTTATTATTTCACTTATATGAGGTATCTGGAATAGGCAAACTCACAGAGGCAGAAAGTAAGATAGAGGTTTAGGGCCAGGAGGAAGGAGAAAATGGAGAGTTTTTCTTTATTGGGTACAGAGTTTCCATATGGGCTGATGAAAGTGTTCTGGAAACAGGAGTGGCAGCTATTCAACATTGTGAATGTACTTAATGACACTGAATTGTACACTTTCACGTGATTGAAATGGTAAATTTTACATTATATTTTAAACCACATTTTTCAAAAATTTATACATAATGATTTGAATATATAAATTATGTACTTTTAAAACAAGGGAATACGAAGAAATGAAAAAATTATTGAATTGCCATGTGACTATTTTTAGTAGAAGTGAAGCTCAAATAAAAGATTTTAACTTTCAGGGCCAGGCGCAATGGCTCACGCCTGTAATCCCAGCACTTTGGGAGGCCAAGGTGGGTGGATCATCTGAGGTCAGGAGTTCGAGACTGTCCTGACCAACATGGTGAAACCCCTCTCATAAAAAAAAATAAAAATAAAAAAAATAAAAATATTTTAACTTTTAGCTAAGTGTTTTCATTTTAAAAAGATGTATTTTATGTCATATAGCTTTTCAGACCAACAAATACTAAGAAAATTTAAGTTTACTTTTTCTCAAAATTGCTGTTAATATTTTATTTAAAATTTTCTCAACCGGGCACGGTGGCTCACACCTGTAATCCCAGCACTTTGGGAGGCTGAGGTGGGCGGATCACCTGAGGTCAGGCATTCAAGACCAGCCTAGCCAACATGGCAAAATCCCATCTCTACTAAAATTACAAAAATTAGTCAGACGTGGTGACGGGTACCTTTAATCCCAGCTATTTGGAAGGCTGAGGCATGAGAATCACTTGAACCTGGGAGGCAGAGGTTGCAGTGAGCTGAGATAATGCCACTGCACTCTAGCCTGGGTGACAGAGTGAGACTCCATCTCAAATAATAATAATTTCTTATTTGTAGTTGTTACTAAGAATAGCTATATGGATTCATTCTTTTTGTTGTTGTTCTCATTACACAATGGATTCATTCTTAAAACCTTCAAATTTCCACAGGAAAAGCTTCTCAGATAATTCAGGTAAAGGAATTTCTGTACTATATTTGTGCTAGAGCATTTTGAATGATTTTATTTTGTTGTTACTTTTTCTAGGTTTTAATGAAACCTTTGTTTCTTTAGCTTGACAGAGCCCATTCGTTATTAAACCAGACTCAACAGCCCTACAGGTATCTCATTGAATCAGTGCGTCAGAGAGATTCTAAGATTGATTCGCTCATGGAATCTATTGCACAATTTGAGAAGGATGTCAGGTAAATCATCCACAGATCTTTTATTTGAATAATAAAGATATACCATATTGCTGGTATCGATGAATTTGGGTTGTAAATCATGAAAATAAAATAATGAAGGTGGTGTTAAAAGTAATGATTAAACTTCTCTTAGAAAAACTGAGGTCAGATCACGTCAGGTGTTCACATTCCACTTGTGTTCATATGTCTTAGCATGGAAATAACAGTGTTACTACACTTATGAGCCTAACATTCCATCTATCCTAGAGGACACAACAGTTATCGGTCCTTGCTTCCTTAGAACTCTTTAGTATGTTACATACAGGTTGACCAAAGGAAGAGGAGGAATTTGCCATTTGTGGCATTAAAATGCCTTTTAAAACAAAAAAATAAATAAACATTTACTTAGATTTATGTTAATTTTTGCCAAGGAATTTTTTGGCTTTTCTTCTGACCTTTTACATGAAAGTAACTTTTAAATGTTAATAAATAAATTCCTTTCACTTCCTTAATTTGTAATGTTTTTGTATGAGATCTTATCCAAAACAATTTGCTGTGACCATTTTGGTTTTTTAAACTGAAATAAAAGAATGAAGATATGTGTAAATGAAACAGTTTTACTTGTGGATAGTTAGTTGGTTTAGTTATTAGATTTTTAAGATTATTAGAATAATTCGAATTTTTATGTGTACATTATTAACTGATTATAAATGTAAAAACAGAGAATTAGGTGGGAATAGAAATGGTTAAATCAAGAAATTGGGACCAGGCACGGTGGCTCACACCTGTAATCCCAGCACTTTGGGAGGCCGAGGCGGGCAGATCATGAGGTCAGGAGATCAAGACCATCCTGGCCAACATGGTGAAACCCCATCTCTACTAGAAATACAAAAATTATCTGGGCGTGGTGGCGCACGTCTGTAATCGCAGCTACTCAGGAGACTAAGGCAAGAGAATCACTCAAACCCAGGAGGTTGCAGGAGCTGAGATTGCACCACTGCACTCCAGCCTGGTGACAGAGCGACACTCAGCCTCAAAAAAATAAATAAACAAATAAATAAAGGAATTGGAAAACAATAAGAAAATGGTTATTAAAGTATACAAACAAAAATATAAAACTATTGATAACTAATTCTAAAGTATAAATGTTATTTTTAATGAATCATAATAATTACCTTCTTTCATTTCTGCCCCTCCAAAATAATTGGTCTAGAACTTTGTTCCTGGTCTTAAATTTTTGATGATTTGTTTAAATAATTTAGGGATATATTTATACTTTAAATGTCAAAATAAATAATTTATTTCTAGATTTTNTTTTTTGAGACAGAGTCTTGCTCTGTCACCAGGCTGGAGTGCAGTGGCACGATCTTGGTTCACTGCAACCTCCGCCTCCTGGGTTCAAGCAATTCTCCTGCGTCAGCCTCCCAAGTAGCTGGGATTACAGACATGTGCCACCACACCCAGCTTATTTTTATATTTTTAGTAGAGACGGGGTTTCACCATGTTGGTCAGGCTAGTCTCAAACTCCTGACCTCGTGATCCACCCGCCTCGGCCTCCCAAAGTGCTGGGATTACAGGCATGAGCCACTGTGCCCGGCCTTAAAATTTGAATCTTTTATATGTCTTATTTTAGCTTTATATTCTTTTGATGGGGAGGCATATCAAAGTTCTGAGGGAAAGAGTTACTTCTTTTACAGTTATCTCCAGATAAATTATTTGATTATTTATTTTACTAAGAATTAAAGTATCTTAAAATGCTTAATATAGAGAAAATAATAGCTAGCCATAGGAGAAAATTATATGGATGAACAAATTCAGCCATAGAGAAATTAAGCAACTTGTCCTCTAAGAACATACAGCATTGTGGTAGAGCCAGAATTCAAATCAATATCTGCCTGCTTGCTAATTCTATTCTCCTAAGCGTTAGGTTATACTGCCCCTCTATGTTCTATTCTGAATAAGGGATAATTTTTCTTTAACTAAAATAATTAAGGAAGAGAACAAAAATGTTGTGTATCACAATGATTAAGTAGCACTTTAATGAATTGATGATTGCTGAAACGGGGTGATAGATATATCAGGGTTTGCTATTACATATTTTCTCTTCTGAAATATTCTATAATAAAGTTTTTTAAAATACAAATTTTAAAAGGAAGTTTTTAAATTCAACTCAGTACTTAGTTTTAAGTTAGGGCAAGTACATTTAAACTCTGTAAACCTTTGTTGTCCAATAGAACTTTGTATAATGATAAAAATATTCCATATCTGTGCTGTCTAGTATGGTAGCCACTAGCTAGCCACATGTAAGTGTTGAGCATTTGTTTGAGTTTTTGTTGTTGTAGTTATTGTTTCTATTTTCTTTTTCTTTTCTTTTTTTATTTTTATTTTTTTTGTGTGATGGAGTTTTGCTCTTGTTGCCCAGCCTGGAGTGCAATGGCAGATTCTTGGTTAGGCTTACCACAACCTCCACCTCCCAGGTTAAAGCAATTCTCCTGCCTCAGCCTCCCGAGTAGCTGGGATTACAGGCATATGCCACCACGCCCAGCTAATTTTGTATTTTTAGTAAACACAGTGTTTCTCCATGTTGGTCAGGCTGGTCTCGAACTCTGAGACTTCAGGTGATCCACCCACCTCAACCTCCCAAAGTGCTGGAATTACAGGCATGAGCCACCACGCCCAACCTGAGCCACCACGCCCAACCTGAGCCTTTGAAATGTGGCTAGTGTTACTGAGGAACTAAATTTTCGATTCTATTAAAATTAAATTATCTTTAATTTTATTCAAATTAAATTAAAATTAAAGTTAATTTAATTTTAATAAAGTTAAAGATAATTTTAATTGCCACAGTGGTTAATGGCTGTGGTATTGGACAGTACAGCCAGTTTCCTCATATGTGAAATGGAGCGGTGCTGAGGAAGGCAGATTGCTTGAGCCCAGGAGTTCGAGACCAGCTCAGACAACATGACAAAACCCCATCTTTACAAAAAATACAAAAAAATTAGCTGAGTGTGATGGCATGCACCTGTAGTCCTAGCTACTTGGGAGGCTGACTTAGGAGGATGGCTTGAGCATGGGAAGCAGAGTTTGCAGTCAACTGAGATCATGCTACTGTACTCCAGCCTGGATGACAAAGCAAAACTCTGT